CATGATTAGTTAGATCATTACTAAATCAATAATGATGTAAAATTGAGAATATAAATTGACATTAAATGAAGAACCAGAAGATTATTCAATCCAATGAATTCTCATATAATACTTGTTCTCTGTATTATAAATTGGTCATTGATGATCACTAGCTAAAGTATGGACTAAATTTCTTTAATATTAAAAATTATCTAGGATGATTTATGAGATCCCACCACCTTCCATGTTGATCATCTAGTTATAATTTATATCTAATTGATACATTTACTAATTGGTTGCAAGATGTTCTTAATATGGTGTTTGCCATATTATTTGATCACATTTTTGAGGCATAATTTTCAAATTATACCATCAAAATAGTATATTGTGTCTTATGATAAATACTAGTTGGAACGATGATAAATGATTTAATACAATTGATTGCTAAGTAAATTTAATTAATTTTTTAACCATTACAATTGAGAGCAATGTAATTTCCATTTTTGTTTGTAGAATGCTATTTTCTATGCAATAACACATATACACATCGTGCCAAAATTAAAGTTCGCAATGTTATAATTGACTTATACTGTCAAAAGCCTAATACTTTTCATCTAATATTTTTTTAAATTGTAATATATGTATAATTGCTTTATCTCTGTACATTGAGATAAATATTAAAAATGTTGAGAATATATGTTTATTTTAAACCCCAGAAGGTGATATTTTGTTTAAACCCATATCAAAATATTTTAAGCCCTAACCGGTGATGTTTTATAACATAGTTCCCTGGCTGTCAATTTGATCGAATTGTTTTTTAGTATTAGGCGGAGAAATTAGTAGTTAAAAATAATACATAGCGCATCATATTTTTCTATCTATATTTTGACACTTGACAATATGAAAAATAACTCAATTACAATATCTATTTACTACCTTATGAGAGATCAATAAAATCTTATATACCACCTATATATATATATATATATATAATCAATTATATAATCCTAGAAGAGGCTCAGGTACTTGTTGAAAGTTTATATATCTCAATAAATTATGTTGTATGGAAATGAAATAGAATAAAAAAGAAAAGGGTTGTCACAACACTTTTGTACATGATGTATGCTTCATCCTATGAATAGCGAGGATATCAAAATAAATTTATTGAAGCATATCAATCGAAAAAATTATTGACCAAATAAAATGACAAATTCTTTACAAAATTAAACTTATTAGATAAATCTAAAGTTTTTGGACTTTCAGTCTAATTAACAAAAGGTATATAGAAGAGGAAATGAGAAAAATAAAATTGTGATATGTAATGTATGACTCATAACATAATATATGTTGCAAACACTAATTAAATAGATAATTTATTTCGTGGTGGATGTAATCACAGGTCTATATCTTGTTATTTAGACAACACATTAATTTGATATGCGTATAATATATGTGTTCATAGTCAACTTATATAGCATGCCTATTAATACTTTTCTTGAAAAAATTGATGTGCTTAAAGCATATAATTCAAGTGATAAGGAGGAGTAAATATGCATTATATTATTTTTCCTTTGATCAAGATTTTGTCAATAGAATTTTCCTGAAAAAATTTTAATGAGTCAACTTTTATAGAGTATTTAGAGAAATGATGTGTTCCTTTTCGGTTCTTTAGATTTTTTCACATGATGTTTCCTCATAAAGTTTTAACATGACGCATTCATTGTGCAATGAATTTTAATAAGACATAAAATACTTGGTATAAAATTTTTTATTAATTGAAATCGGCGATAACAATGAATGTGAATAAATCATAGAATACTTGATATAAAAATTTTTATCAATTGAAATTAGGGAGAATAACTATTTTTTCTTTCACTCAAGATTTGTGCCACTACGTTTACTTGACAAGGTTTAACAAGGCCTCAGTTTATTATTTTAAGTCATTTTTATTATTATTATTTTTTTTCCTTTGATTGGTATTTTTCTCCCATCAAGTTTTTGTCAAATAATATTTTAACGAAGTAGTTATTGTGTAAATAATTATTCAAGGGGAAGTGTTGCAAATAAAATAATTTTTGTGAATGATGATTATACTCCTTCAACTCTAATTATAATCTATAATTTATAAATATGAGACATTTATTCCCAATAAAAAAGATAATAAGTCCATTGACTTACTCATTTTCGATTTAGTTATACCTGTATTTTACTTTTGTAGAAAAAATTATTTTCACGAACTTTATAATATATATATTGTTTGAAACTATATTAGCGTAAAACTATTCTATTTTACAGAATAATTAAATTAAAAGAAACTTGTGACTAGAATTACTGCAGTGAAGCTATTCACAGAGAATGGTCAACCAATGTTAAAAAAATATAAAGTAATGCTATTTAGTATCATTAGTGTTAAGCACAAATACATCTGGCAACTGTATGACATTAAATTATAAATTCTTTTAAATTTAATATCATATGATTCATTTAATTAAATCCATCAAGTGTAGCAACCTCGACTGATGCTAGATAGTATTATTCAAAAATATAAATTATAACAATCAGTTGCAATGACCATATCCTATGAATGCTCCTTAATAAATGGTCGGCAATTTATTGATCTCGATCTGAGAAATGAAACGATAGAGAGGAATACTTTCGATTACGAACAAAGATTTTGAAGGGAATAAGAATAATCTAAAAAAGGAATCCATTATAGATATTTTGTGTCCATGCAATTTGCTCAATAATGAGATGATTGCCTTTTTGGGATGCTAGTACTCGACCTTGCACTGTAACATAGGATAAAGGACAAGATCACGAATAGACTTAAAGTTGTAATTTTTTTTTTTTGATATCCTAACTTACACTAGACTAAATCCTGGATCTTCAAGATCTTTGCTCCTAGAACCTTGGAGGGGTAAATCGCGGGTTATGCCTCAACTGGATCACAGGTTCCCCCCACCGCCTGTATACTTCTGCGCACAAGAGATCCTCCTCCAAAGTGATGGATCCATACCAAAAAGGAAAAAGAAAAAGTATTGGACATTTTTTATTCCCTATTTAGCCTCGCCTTTCATTAATGTGAGCTTGATTAATGATATTTGATTTGATTTTTATTTTTTAAACAAAATTCTGTGAAGAGAGACAATTCAACCTAACCTGCATATAATTTAAAACTATTTTTTTACCATTCTTAGTTGGAATGAAATTACTTTTATGTCGGAGTAGAACTACTATTATTTTTAGGCTTCCTCGAAACGGAACTACTATTAGACGTGGTCTTGAGGTGAGGCAAACGAGCCCTCACCTTAGGTCCAATATCATAAGGGACCTAATTTTAGCCCAGAATCCCACCCCACCCCCCAAAAAAAAGGTGGGATTTGATGAATTTTATCAATGGCTGTCTACAAATATTCATATTATTGTCTTATCTTAGTACAATACAAGAACTTTTTCAAGATATTACTACATTTTACAATTCTTTCATTCTAGATTTGCTTTAAAAGGGACAAAAAGTTGTATTTTAATATATATGTATATTTTTGTTTAATTTTAGTTGATAATAAATCTTTAGTCAATTCCCCACTTCCACGCTTGGCACAAGCTTCTTCACTCTATGATTAAATATTTGGTTTTGTTATTTTATAATATAAATCTTTTCTATAATATATTTGGTTGTTATTTTAATGTTAGTTTTAAGTTAGCAATATGTCGTATAATGAATTTTGCATTTATGTTGATTTCACCGAGAGCTTAATTTGTAAAATTCGCTTCGCGCCTCGACAATCACAGGACCAACCCTGATTACTATTACATGAGAGATGTGTACCTATATATGTCGAGCTACCATAATAGTTGTATAAGAGAATCACATGATGAAGAAGGGTTTTAAAAATATTCTTCCACATTATCTAATGCATATTTTTCATGTGAAATTCTATAAGGAATATATCTTAAAAAATCTCACTTTCTTGGTACGTTCTTGAAGTACGGGGCATCTTGGGTGGACTTAAAAGTCTTCTGCTCATTTCTGGCTTCTGAAGTCTTGTATGGTTAGAGGACATGAGAATATTTTGATGCATATCTACAACTTTTAATTATTGCTGGCCGTCATACATTCCATAGTGGAGATTTGTACGATTATTCCAATCCCAATTGGAGTTGGCAACAAAATACGCACGTGGATACAATTGAAGATATTCTTTCCTTTTTTTTTTTCTTGATATTTTCAAAAAATTAATTATTAGAATTTGAAACACTATCTTCACAAGCTATGAGCTACCAAGTTTGGGAAACCTTAAAAGAGTCTAATTATAAATAACTTTATTTTAAAATAAAAAATTTATCGTTCAAAGTTAAAAATGAATAAGTTACTTATTTCTAGAGCAAATGTAAGCTTACTTTGAAATTTTACTTAACAATAAATATTTTTCTTTTTAATCTAAGCATAAAACAAGTAAAGCTGTTTTTTGTTTCCGAGTGTGTATAGTCGTCATCAAAACGTAGATGTATTTTTAACGTTTATGCAACTTGAACAAATTAAAAACTTTTATTATTATTATTATTATTATTAATTAATTAATTTATATATTTTTTAACTTTATTGCTTATACGTAAACCTTTTAAGGTTATATAACACATAACATATCCAAACTTATTGAAAACAAAAGTAGATTTAATTTTTTTCTTTTTTGAAAAAAAGTTTAGCATTTAGTATTGAGCTAAAACTTTAAATGAGACGTTCAAGTGCTCAACATTGAACATTATATAAAAGAAAAAACTTCTTGAATTAAAGTTTAACCGCCAAAAATATTACGGAATATAATAAAGGTACATAAACATGAAAATAGCCATTGACGAACACCTGAAGCCTTTATCACGAAAGATCAAACAAAATCAGGCATAACTCAAGTATTGATTCATTGACATGACCATTCAAAAAATAATATATTCTTGAAGTCTCTTTCCTCAACATGCAAATAAATTCACTCTAACCTCTATATATACCTCTATGGAAGCCTAGTTTTTCCAATAACAAACTACTTTAAATCTTAATTTACATAGTTACACCATTTTCTCCAAATTTTTACGTTGTTCTTTGTGCAAAAAATGGATGCAGTGATGCGATTAGGGGCCGAAAATCCTGCAGTTATATTCAGCAAAAGCACTTGCTGTATATCCCATGCAATTAAGACGCTGATACGTGGTTTTGGTGCGAACCCGACAATTTATGAGCTTGACGAACTCCCCAGTGGGGACCAAATGGAGAGGGCATTATTGGCATTAGGGTGTGACCCAAGTGTACCAGCTGTGTTCATTGGAAAGAAATTTATTGGTGGTTCTAATGAGATAATGAGCCTCAATGTTAAGGGCAAGCTCAAGCCACTTCTCATAAAGGCAAATGCTATATGGATATAGGAACAAGACGAGAATGTTTGGCATGCTGACAAGACTAGATACTTTAAGGAACGAGATTTTAGTATTGTTCGTGCCATACGTATCCAATAATAAGTACCAAACATAATAGTAGATTACTAGCATTTTCGAGCTCTCTTTTCATGATTATGACATTTTGAGATTTTTAATAGCTAGTGATAACTAAATTTTAAGATAATTATAAGTAGTTTTTGAGGTTCTCTTTGTTGTACTGCTACATTGAAGAAATAAAAATAAGCGAACATTTTATCTGTGAGACTGATGTTCAAGATTTTCTTTTATTGGTGAACTTATATAGATCATTGGTAACAATACAACTTGTCATGATTTCTCCTTTAGTTGAGTAATTTTGGTAAAGTTTTTGTTGTGGATTACAAGTTGTGAGTTCTACAATTTTTTTTATTTTTTTTAATTATTATTATTATTTTTTTTGGTAATTAGAGGGCATATAGTGGTGAATCATTCAAAATGTATGAATGAAAAATATGTTTAACCAATTTTCTTTAGAATTTCAATGAACTTCAAACCTTAAGCTTATATGGATACTTTCATTCAACGAGGGTCTCTCTGATGTTCATGAATCATCAGCGAGTTAACATGTACCCAAGCCTTCCAGCTAAGCTCAAGTCTTACATATAACAAACTCAACCCAAAATTTTCCATAATGGCGATCTCAAGTCCTGCCCTTAATTTGAGCCTCAGAAAATGACTCACCAATTGAATATTAGCTGGCTGATGACAACAAGCAAGTCAAGAACTCGCATCCAACATTTGGTTCAATTATATGTAGGGTGTTATTAATTAGGACTCATTGCCGAATGCGTCTTGGTTATTTGCAATGTAATCAAATTGAGAAAAAAAAAATGGTATTATTACATAATATGTTTTTTCGATGGGGATAATTTTTAATTGTTCAAATATTACTAGGCTCATGACTCCCAAAAAAAGTGGTTCGAGGACAGATTTTCCGCACGATATATATTGCTAATAGGAATCATTAATGGCGAATTCATGATCGCAAATACGTTGCTATTTTACGAGTCGGTGATAGTTACCAACGAATTGTTAATAAACTAAAGGTAACACTTTTACTAACGACATATTCATAGGTGAAAGTCATATTATTACCAATGGAATATCCGTTGGTAAAATACTTGTCATCACCAATGAATGTTTGTTGATAATTTTTTTTTTTTTGTCATTACTGATGAAAAATCCGTTGGTAAAAAATTGGTCATTACCAATGAGATATATACTTGTCATTACCAATGGAATATCCGTTGGTAAAATACTTGTCATCACCAATGAATGTTTGTTGATAATTTTTTTTTTTTGTCATTACTGATGAAAAATTCGTTGGTAAAAAATTGGTCATTACCAATGAGATATATACTTGTCATTACCAATGGAATATCCGTTGGTAAAAATATTGTCATTATCGTAAAAAATATTGTCATGTAAAAAATTTCCTTTTACCAACAGATAATCTGTTGCTAAAAGTGTCTTAACAAAAACTACTTTTCACATATGAAAAATCTATAGACGAAGCTTAATTTGTTATTTTTTTTATTAAAAATAGCTAAACATTTAAAAATCTGCCAATTAATAATCATAATTATCAAAATGACTAAATAATCAAAATGCACTAAAGTTTTAATAGATTAAGTTACTATATCGAAATTTCAAATACCATATGTGTGTATACATAATCATTGCTTGATCTAGAATTAGAAGAAATTGAAAGTTTGGAATATTTAGTTCATGTAAGCATGCTTCACACTGTTTCTCCCATCTCAACCCTGTGATCTCTTGCAACTCGTTCAAGACGTACAGTGAAATCTTCAGTGCTTTCATTATTTTCTTTTTGTTGTATTTTGTACTCAAGCAAGTTCTAATTTTAAATTATTCACATGTTCATCACGTGTAAATATTGAATATTTAGGTGAATTGGGTACGATAAGAACATGTGAAACAGATTTTCGAGGACCAAACCCATAAACACGGCCTTTCTGTGGACCGTTGACGGCATCCATCCGTTGATTCGAGATCAAACTCAGGTTAATATATAAGTGTGTTTTTACACACTTATTTGGTCATAAAACATGACAATTTGTTGATAAAAGTATTTGAATACGGCTTGATTCTATGTAATAATGTTTTGTAAGACTATATTGATGAATGTGGCGGAATTCAAGAGAAAAGAAATGATAAAGAACCAAAATGGAAGAAAACAAAAATTCAAGGACCAAATTGTGAGTAGCCAAAAGATGAATCGAAAGTAGAAACGATGATGTGAAAAACTCAATGACAAATTTAGTGAGGACTTGAAGTATTGGGAGAAGGAAAAAAATAGAGAAAGGATATAAAAGAATCAAGAATTGAATTTGGTGATCAAAATATAACGTTAAGAAGTTTTTATTACTCGGCGACAGCCCAGTTATTTTGAGTGGGTGACTGTCTAACATCAAGGAACAATTATCGAGGCGAAAACTCTAGTCCTCAAGTTTTGCATGGGCAGTCAATAGCAGTGAAAATTTTCTAGTTTCCTATTCTGATTGAAATTTTTATAGAAACAAATATTGGGAAGTATTTGGAAACCCTAAGGCCGTCCCTAAGTAGGGAGGAGGCATTATAACACATTCAAAAGAGTTTTTAGAGAAGAAAATAAGGCAAGAATGTGAAGATTGACATCAAAACGCAATTATTTAATTTAAGATTTAAATTGGTAATGTATTTTCTTTATTATTCAGTTTGTTTTCTTCTTTCCATCATGTTAGGCTAAATTTGTTTGTACTAGGAGAATGATAAATCATGTGATGCAATGTTTTCATTTCTAGTTTTACATTATTAACAATAAAATACATTACTTGAATTTGAATGGTTTACATGCAATTATTTTCTTCCATATTTATGTGCGCGTAAGTGTGTGAGTGTGGTGACTTATTTCATGTATTCAAGAAAAGGGGAATAAGGTCGTCAGGGTATAAATTATCGTAAGGTCCGATAGGGGATAGACATATACCTCTACACCTTATGTGAATCTTTAACTGCTCACAAAATCACATGCATTCTTGTATATTTGCACCCGTCATAGAAATACAATCTAGTGTGGTATATTGGAGTAGGTTCAACATTATTCGAAAGAGATTGTTGGATAACTTTAGGAGCATTGATTCTTCAAATATTCAACGTGTTGTCAAATTGTAGAACTAGGGTTAAAAGTGAGCATTGCCTGGGAATTCATGATCCTAGTGTGTTCATATTCATTGAATACATCAACTTGCATTCAACACATTCACTTTTCATTTTAGTTCATTAAAATCATACATATTTGCATATTTCCCTACTACATAAAAAGGGGAATGTAAGGGCACTGTAGAAAGCAATAGTGTCTTGATCCATCTTTACTGTAGCATTTTTGTTTTGTTTTGTTTTTTTCAATTGGGGGCAAAAAATGACTCCGTTTGCTTGATATATATTTTATTTTATTATACACTACCTCCAAATTTACTGCAACAAGCAATTTTCATTCCTTCCCCACTCCAATATAGATATATATAGTAGGGATATAAAAAAAATCACTTATATATATATATGCGACAGAAATTTTTTTACAACATATTACTTGTAAGTAAAAAATTTAAAGAGAAAAGAATTAAAGATAATTTTAAATTGAAAAAAATTATAACGTAAAACTACAAAGCAAAAAAAAAAAAAAAAAAAAGGAAATTT